GGAAAGTCCCTGCAGGATTTGTAGGAAATTAATGTTAGCCTCTCCTCAACAGAAAGCTAGGGGTTTGCAAAACACACCATATGCTTGTCACTTTGCCAATGAATCAAGATGTTTTTGCAGTCTTCTGAGTCTAAATAATTAATGGTAATGTCTAAAGATTACCCCAAGGTTCAGGGAGTAAGGATAGGGCTTTTGCAGTGTCCAATATTACTCAACCTCAGCTCAACCCAGTATTTCATGTGATAAATGATCAGGCTTCATGACCACACTCCCCCCACACACCCCACTTATCACCATTGTGCATTCCCTTTTCTTTTTCCTTACCTCTTCGTTCTTCTGTAATTAGATTCTCTGGCTTTCTTCAAATAAGTGTTGCTGCCTCTTCTCAGCCCTCAAATATTACGATAAACTTCTACCCAGATTTCTCCAACTTCACTAAGTGGACAAGAGTGTATGTCTACTAGTTTATGTTTTAACAGTAGTGTTGTTCCCACCAAGAGATTAAGTTTCTTTCAATAAACTCTCACCAACCAACTAATCCAAACCAATGAATCAAGCTAAATAAATCAATAGCCTGGCTAATTTTCATAATTGTAGAGATTATGAGTTTTTAAAAAAATGTTTAAAAGAGTAGATATTAAGTTCTTGCTCTATAAAATACAAAAGCATGTCCATGATCATTTGAAATATTTCCTCCTAACTGGCAAAACCTTTTTTAAATTTTATGATCCTTTGGAAAAAATGAATCTACATAACTTGGTACTGATTTTTGATGCATCTCTTCTATCAATTTAGCTTGTTGAAATGAAGCCCCCTCCTGAATGAGCCATTGTAATATTTTATTTTTTATTCATCTTTAACATATATATGCACATATGTATATAAATACATATATAGTCTACTTCTGAATAATAATAAACCCCCTCTTGTATAAGAACCTTACCATAGTTCCAGTCATTTTTCCCCATTGTCGTATTTTAATTGAATACACAGAAAGGTCTCATTTGCTGTAGAAGATTGTAAGAGTCCATTATAATGTAGTACTGCCTGTATGCCAGCTGCTTTACAATGCTAAGTACTTTACAATCATTATTTCATTCAATCCTCAAAAAGATCATTTCTAGATAAAGAAACTGGAACTTGAAAAAGTTTCAAAACTTTTGTCCTAAGTCATGCAATAGTAAGTGAAAGAGCTGGAGTTTGAACTGGAATGTTATATAGCTTTCTTTGTCCATTTGGGTTGCTCTAACAAAAAAACCTAGGTGAGGTGGCTTATAAACAACAAATTTATTTCTCATAGTTCTGGAGGCTGGGAAGCCTTAGATTGAAGCACCGGCAGATTCAGTGTCTGGTTTCTGATTCACAGATACCAGTATTCACATGGTAGAAGGGGAAGGAATTTCTTTGATGTCTCTTTTGTAAGGGCACTAATCCCATTCATGATGGTTCCACCCGCATAACCTAATCACCTCCCAAAGACCTATACCTAATACCATCACACTGATGTTTAAGAGGCTCAACATACAAGTGTGAGGGTACAAATATTCAGTCTATAGCACAGCAACACCAGACTGTCCTTATATTTACTCCTCACTGAAGGCCAAACCAAACACAGCCCTTCCGTGACAGACAGAATGCCACAGATGCTGGAGAAACCCTTACAAGTCATCATGATGGCCCTAATGCAAACTTCAGACTATAAGTCAGCAGAAGCTGCCTTCTAAAGAATTTATTTGGTGATTTACTTCAACTAAATTAGCAAAAACTTTAACGTTTACTGACAAAGGCTTTAACTTATCAATTCCTCTAAAAGTGGGGAATACTCTTACCCCAAATCTGGGTTATTTTATTCACCAAACCATCAGTATCATTCCTATATATGCTTCATGGTAGTTTGTACTCCCATTTTTCTCTCTTAATTTCATGCATCTTTAGAAATATTAACTGGAAATGATGGAAGTCAGCATGGTATAATAACTGACTTCACACTCTGTATTTTGAAATAATAAAAAGAATAATGTATTACCCATGGGGAAAATCACTCTTCCAGAATTTCAGCAATCTTGTTGATGGCTGTTGTGAGACCTCAGTTCTTGTCTCATTAGTTTAAAAGAACTTAAACAAGAGACACACAGCAAAGGAGCTGTGGCATAGAGCAATTTATTGCAAAAGAGAAAGAATATTCTAAAAACTAGGTGCAGAATAGACAGTGTACCCTGAGAGAGGATTCAGGGCAGGTAAAGATGAGAAAGCATGGACTGGCATTAGGGAGTGTTTTTGGAGGTCTTTTTTTGGGAGTCTTACCTGATTATTCCTAACGGTGTGGACGGAGTAAGCATGTTGTGGGTGGTCCTCTGGATGCACATGTGCAGTAGCTGTACATGCTTACTCATAGGTTGCATGTCTCATTGGTATCTTAAATCTCCACCCAGGGGTATATTTTTTAGTATTATAATGAACAAAGCGTCAGTTTGAGGACAGGTAAAATTAAAACGTGCATGCTCTCTACAGAGGAAATTCCTTGCTGAAAATAGCTTTACTTGAATGAGCTTGACTACAGTGTCAATGCCGGGGCTTATTGTGTTGGTGGTCATCACGGTTGCTGCATCCCAAGGACGTGATTACTTCCTTGACTACCTCTCCTGCCTCAGTCTTTCAGATACATTCTAGTGTTAGTTCACCATACCTATAAATCAAATCGACAATCTGTTAAATGTCTTATTATATGAAGAATGGTCTTGGGCAAAAGAAAGAAAGAGTCACCCTTGCTTCAAAAGGGTTGCCAGCCTAAGCCAGGTATGGCTACAACCGTGGGTGGAGTGGTAGTGGCCACTAGAATGGGCACAGGACTGGGTAGTCAGAGCCTGGATTCTGGGCCCAGTTCCCTTAATCTGCTGGGTGATGTTGTATGAAGTCACTTGGCTCTTGAGCCTGCATTTGTTCACCTGGAAAGCAAAAGCATTAGAGTAGGTGACTTTTGGGAGGAAAGAAGGAAGAAAGGAAGGAAGGAAGGAAGGAAGGAAGGAAGGAAGGAAGGAAGGAAGGAAGGAGGGAAGGAAGGGCGGGCGCAATATAAGGATACATTATTGCATTGGCCACCAATGAAAACAGCTGGTGACTTGATCCTCCAGGACCATCAGAAGAGCCATATGAATGGTATTTCACAACCATCCATTCAAGGGAAAAACAGGGGGAGAATTTGTTCTTCATTCTCCATTGGGTAGAGGTTTGTCCTGTGGGGCATTATTTTGCCTGCACTTCCAGGTTGCACAGGTGTAGGTGCAGAGCAGTTTCCCTAAATTTGGAGCTTAAAAAAATGTTGGAAGCATACATTATCCAGTTTCCTCACTTCTCAATTTCACGTTGGTTATATAGTTTTATTAGTATATAATATTATTGTATATTATTATAGTATCAGTAAAAATAGAGAAAGTAGATGCTGCTCCAGGGAAAGAGTTGGGAGAGGTGGCGAATGCTGAGTCACACCTGCAGTAGATGCTAGGAGAATAATAAAAATTAGGAAGCCATTCATTATTAGCACTTTTTTCTGGAATGAAAGGGTAGATGTAATCCAGTTAAATTTCTGGAAATAATTATTCCAAAATTTGCTTTTGTTTTGAAACTATATTTTTGGTAATATTTTTTCTTTCCATTTTTCTTTAATTTTTTTCTTTCCATTTTTCCCAGTTTATGACTCATAGCTAGAAAAAGAGGTTAATCTTTAATGTCATAAAAACTTATGAAAAATACTAATGATATTCACTGTATTTAATACAGTTGCATGATTGGGGGAAAAAGTATATAATTTAACTGAGTCAATAGTTATAGATCGCCTTCTAGGTCATCATCCATCAGACACTTTGTATACTTCATACAAAGATTAAAAAAGATATTTTCCCACCTCTAAGGGGTTGATAATCTGGTTAGAGAGACAAATGCACATACAAAATGATTATGATATAAACATAAGTGCTTTAACTGAAGTACCAAGATCCAATGAAGAATGTGGTTTGGGGAATAGTAACAGTGGTGATGGTGGTAACAGCTTCATGAGGAAATTTGGTCTTGGTGAGTTGAAACCCCTTTTGAAACCAACCAACTAATACTCAGATACATGCATTGAAAGCAAAAAAAGAAAAAAAAAAGAAAAAAAGAAACTGTAATTCAGGCTTGATTACTTTGATGCCAATAAATTATCTCTGTACTAACGGTGTAATATTGTTGCAGGTTTCTCCTAGGACTTCAAAATAGTCTTCAACAGCCACGTGAGATGATTTTCTTCTTTAAAATCTTATTTCCAAATGAGGAGAGTTCCACATTAACCTTTAAAAAAATGCCAGCTTGTTCACAGACAACAGGTTCTGTGCTGCTAGGGGTAATGAGAAGGTAGCACGCTCATGTGGTCCCATCATAATTGGATTTTCTGGATCCTGGGAACTCAGTCCGTAGAGCAAGTTTTATCCAAGATAAAGTTCTTAGTTCAACCACCTGCATGTTAAAAATGAAGACAACTGGGATTCAATTCAGACCCACTGAATCAGATTTTCTGCAAGTAAGTCCAGGAATCTGTATATATTTTTTTAATTACTCCAGATTATTTTTGTGCATACAGAAAGGTTGCAAACCTTTTCCCTAGAGAGGAGTTGATCTGAAAGGTAGAGAGGCAGCTGCTTTGCATTATCTAATCTGACTCTTCTGCTGATGTCATTATCCCCAAATTTCCTTGGAAAGGTAATTGCAAAGGATACTTGGCTCCTATCAAGGAGTGGGTTTGCCAAGGGAGCCAGGAGTCTGGACAGGCTCTGAGAACTTTGGGGACCAAGGAAAGAATCTCCTGATGCATGGCTGAATTTGTATTCAACTTTGGATTTTCCCTCTTTGTTCTGTGTCAGTAATTTCAGAGTTGGAAGAGAAAAAATATGACTCATGACTCCAAACAGGGAAACGTGTTTATTTTTCAAATTACAGTAAAACAAACAACTCCAAATCTATGGTCTTGTTTTCCTTTTCACCCCTGTGAACTTGTACATAGAATATAATAATTTCTAGCAGTTCAACTGGTTAGGATCCTGTACCAGGAATCCATGTGCTTAAAAATAAAAAAGAAGCCTAACCAAAGCCGCCCCATGCCCCAAACACTGGGAACTTTTCCTTCATGAGGAGAAAAATCTGTCTTCAGCCTCCTGCACTGTAGAGAAACTGATGGGAAAGATAAGAAAATGAGAATGTCACAGTTATGAGAAGACACAGCTGTTCAGAAATCTAGTATGCACAGCTTAACTGAGAACCCTCACCATCCCCTCCAAACCCCCTCATGCCCTTTTAGACCCCCCAATACATCAGTTCATTGTCAGAGTTGATCATATAGCTTTTAGGGTATTTTAATTAGTCCAGTGTTCTTTGGGCTTGAAAATATGCTTTGACTTTCTCTACTAAAATTTCAGCTTAGAAAGGTGGTATGTTGTCCATTTCCTCATATACGCTTAAGAGAATCAAAGCTTACTAGACATCTTTTGGAAACAAGTGCAGAAGCACATTTGAAAACAGCTTAGGAATGTTTGCAAAGATGGCTCTGTTCACCTTCTGCCCTTATGATCAGTCAAATAAGCAAAGTCTAAATCCCTGGCTCCCTCCCTGTGCCAGGAGCTACCGCTATTCTCATGAACAGGACTTGCAAGGCCTGGAAGACTTTCTCAAAGTCAAGACCTTTTAATGTCTCATTGATAGAGAAACCCAGAGAGACTGGACTTATAATTACTCCTGCACTAACCTGTTATCTTTCTGTATGAAAAAATATTTAACTTGATTAACAGAATTGAAAGAGTCAAATAAAATGTAGAATACCTTTTATTCTGTTAACTAACTCAGTAGTTCTTTTTAAAACCAGGGAAAAGATGAAAAGCAAAAGTGATAAGTCAGCAATTAGAGCCTCTTGTCCAGTGGGGGTATTTGTTGATTCTGGAATGACGTGGATGAAAGACTGAGAAGGTGACCCATGCTTTTAACAGTTTCTGAGGACTTAAAGGAGAAAACCCAGAGAGTAGGATTCACGAAATGAAAGGGTTAGCGCTCACCATGTTTTGAACTGGAAACCAAAAAGACCATACTAAAGAAAGTTCCTCTCATGGATGGAAGCCTACCTTTGAATCATCTCAGTGCTTGAAAATAGATTAAGATGACTCGGCCAAGCATGGTAGCTGATACCTATAATCCCAACACTTCAGGAGGCTTAGGCATGAAGATCATTTAAGGCCAGGAATTCAGGACCAGATTGGGCAACATAGTGAGACATCTCTACAGGGCTCATGCCTGTAGTCCCAGGTCCTTGGGGGGCTGAGTTGGAAGGATCACTTGAGATCAAGAGGCTGAGGCTGCAGCGAGTTGTGACAGGCCCACTGCACTCCAGCCTGAGTGGCAAAGTGAGACTTTGTCTCAAAAAAAAATAAATAAATAAACTATTAAAAATTTTCAAAAAACACAATATAAGCAGAAAACAAGAAAAAAATTAAGATCGTAGCAGAAATCAATGAAATAGAGAACAGAAACCAAAATGGAGTTTTTTGAGGAGCTCAATAAAATTATTGTTAGCCAGACTGATCAGGAGAAAAAAAAAAAAAAAGAAGGCACAATGATTAATTTAAGGTTTGAAAGAGGTGATAGCACTGCAGATTCTTTAAATACTAAAAAGATAATAAAAAACACAAGATCCTTAGAAAACCTAGATGAAATAGACAAATTTCTTGACAGACAAAAACTGCCAAAGCACACTCAAGAAAAATTAGATCACTTCATAACCCTATATGTGTTAAAGAAATTGAATTGACAGTAAACTACCTTTCTACAAATTAAACCCCAAGTCTAGATGGTTTCACTGGTGACTCCTACCAAACATTTTTTAAAAATCATACGAATTCCACATAAGCTTTTCCAAAAAATTAAAGTAAAAGAAATAATTCCCAAGTCATTTATGAGATGAGTGTGCTCCTGAAACCAAAACGAGACAAAGGCAATAAAAGAAATGTATTGACTGAAATCTCTCATGAACATAGATGTCAAAATTCTTAATAATACTTTAGGAAAATGAATCTAACAATATATTAAACAGGTTAATGTATTACATCCAAGTGGGTTTTATTCCAAGGGTTTTGTAAAGTTGGTTTAACAAAAATATGGTTATTCAATTGTTTCAGCACAATTTGAACTATTCTTACACATCTAAATTCAAGACTCATTATATAGCAACAAAAATCAAAACACTCTGGAGTTTACATAAAGATAGACAAATAAATTGGTGAAACTGGACAGAGAGTCCAAAATAACTCTACACTTATGTGGGAAATTGATTTTGGACAAGTTGTTAGAATGCCTAAAATTAAAAGGCTAATAATATGAAGTGCTGGAAAGGATGTAGAAGAAGGTAAGCTCTCATACAGTGATGGTGGGAATGTAAAATGGTATGGTACAACCACTTTGGAAAATAGTACCATATTATCCAGCCATTCCACTCTTAGATATTTACCATAGAAAAAAGAAAGCATATGTCCACATAAAGACTTGCACATGAATGTTCATAGTGCTTTATTTTTAACAGGAAAAGCTGGAAACAACCCAAATGTTCATTAACAACAATTATGGTATATTCATATCATGGAATATCACTCAGCAATAAAAGGAATAAACTATTGATCTATACCACAAAAGTGTAGCAACGTTAATGAATCTCAAAACATTCATGCTGAGTGAAAGGGCCCAGACAAAAAAGAATATGTAGGTTAAGATTTCATTTGTGTAACATTCTAGAAAATGCAAACTAATTTAAAATGGCAGAGAGCAGATCAGTAGTTGCCTAACAATCAGGAAGATAGGGAGAGAAAAGAGGTAGGGATTATCAAATAAATTTTTGATGACAATGAATATGATCATTATCTTGATTGGAATAAGGATTTCATGGATGTAAAAATATGTCAAAGCCTAGCAAATTATGTATTTGAAATATATTGCTTATTCTATGCCAATTATACCTCCTTAAAGCTGTTTTAAAAGTGAGCGGTGGGTCCACTTTATCTTCTTGAGAAACTTTCACCTGGAGCCTTCTCTCCTACTGCACCAATGTACCTGCTTAGGTTGCTCCTGTTGCTAGCTGTCCTCGTGGACATCTCCCTTCACTGTCATCCTAATAATTTATCTTTGCCTCTCCTTTGTGTATCTCCTTTGTCTTGGATTCTGTATCTTCCTCTTTCGTGGTTTACTCCCTCAGTAAGGTGGGTGAAATAATCCAGTTGCTTCCTCAGAAAAGGTACATATTAACATATAACATAAACTCCTTGAGCTCTCCTGAGAGAAAAAAGAGAACTTGTCCAAGACTTATGTCCTATAAACTGGCCTCCCAGAAAAAGAGTTGACCCTCTTTAAGCCTCAGTTTAAATAGCAGATGCCTGATACTTCTGATCATCACCTTTTGGACCCCACTCTTCCAACCGTTATGGGGGAGGAGCATTACTAACCATGAATGCTGATAATATAAGGTCCGACACTATTTGCCACTTCGTATAGCTGCAACCTTAAGGCTTGAATCCTAGCTCTTTGATCACCCCGGAGAAGAGACTGATGCCATCTCCAACCAAAAATAGTGTCTTGGCAGAAAAGGGCTGGAGATAGTTTTCTGCCAAGTACTATTGCCACTATATTCTGCCCTCTGATTACACAGATGACTTATTAATTCTTCCCTCATTACGCAATATAAAAGTTCCAAAGCCCAAGTGTCTGAGTACATCTTCCTGAGTCTGACATCTAGCTCTGTCAGACTGTGCTCTCTCTTGGAGTATGATAGACAATGGGAGAATTCACTGTTCTGTTGCTGATGGTGCTACCATGAATTTCCCTAGTGAATATTGCTCCAGCAGCCAGCAGCCCTGGTATGTATGCTCTCTAGATAATTGCCATTGTTTGCAGAACATCTTGAATATATAGAAAAGTCTTTATTCTCCTGCCCCACCACCATTACTGCATCACCTCCATCACTATCTAATTGATAGTTTGGCTGGATATAAAATTCTGGGTTGAAAATAATTTTCCCTTTATAATAAATAAACTCATTCATCCGTCATGTACCCAATTTCAGTGTTACTGTTCAACAGTTTAATTTACTCTGACTTCCAGTCTTTTGTATGTGTCTTGCTTTGGTTTTGCATTTCTTTTTGGAAACTTAGAGTCTTCCCGCTGGTCCAGTATTCTGAAATTCTATACATATGTATCTTGGTGTGAGTATTTTTGTATCTGTTAAAAATAGATTCAAGAACACAGGTGTTAGGCCTTTTCTACCTAGAAATTCATGTGTTTTTGTTCTGGAAATTTTTCATTGGATTATTTCTTTTATGATGATGTCCTCTTTATTTTATCCTGGTCTCTCTTATATTCAAATTTTGGACTTCCTGGGCTAATTCTTAATTTTTTTCTTCCCTATTTCGCATTTATTTGTCCCCTCTTTCAATTTTCTGTGAGATGTGCTAATTTTATCTTTGAATCCTTCTTATTTTTCATGTCTGCCATCATAATTTTAGTTTCCAAAAGCTCCTTTTTGTCTTCTGAATGCTCCTTTTTTTGTAGCTTCTAGTTCACTGTTTCGTGAAATATGCTCTTAATTTTCTGGGAATATTAATGAGTTATTCTTTGACTGTTACTGCTTTTTTTCTTTATTTGTTCTTCCTTCTGTATCATTGTCTCTATCCTCTTCGTTTTGATTTCTGTCTTTCATGTTAGAAGTTATTCTCAAATATCTGTTGATCCTTAGCAGAACAGTAATGTTTAAGGGTGGGACCCAAAGGACCTAACTGGAAGCTTTACATGGAGAATTGGAGCTAGTTAATTGGTTTATCATGTACAGGAGGTTATGATTGAAAACAAAGGAAAAAAAGAAAAACCTCTCCACAGAAAATGTGCAGATACATAATAATTTTACATTCACATGTAGGAGCTCACAGATTAAGAACTCCTAGTTAATGAAGTAAAATGCTTATTGTTGTTTTTATACCTTAAAGCTAGTTGATAATGAACAAACACCATTCTAGCTTTTGTTTGCATTCTTTGAATGAAAAGGAGCCCACTATCAGTCAGGTCTGTTCATTTGAGCCTGGAAAAGCTCTATTATTAGAAGATACTCTTACTTTGATCTAAAATATGTCTCTCCATAATTTCTATTATTTTGTCTTATATATACTTACTGCATATATATTAACATTCAAATGATTTTTTTTTTTTACTTTGTCCTTGGAGATTTTTAACATAACTATTGTTAATTCCACATCAATAATTCAGGCTTTCTGGGATATTCCTATAAAAAAAAAGCCTCTGATTTCTTGCAAATAGATATGAGAAAAATTAGAAAATAAACTGTCTCCCACCCAGGCTTCTAAGGACGTAGCTGGATTGCTGGGTGCTCAGACTTGTGTTCTGCTTCAGATATAGAGATGACAACTGGAGTAGTCAGAGAGTACAGATTAATTCACATTGGGAAGAGTCGATAACTACTGGGAAGGGGTGGCAGTTGACAACTACAACTGTTTAGGCTGGCATCAGAGCTATTCGGGACCAGCTAAAATTTGGGAGCTTTGAGAGAGCCATTTCCTATCCAGACTGGTCAGAACCCTAAACGTCAATTCTTCAGTGACACTAGGAAGCTCTTTAGCTTTCAACATTTTATAATAGCTTAATATGTGGCTTTATTCCCTATCTACTCAATACTAACAGGGTTAAAAGAGAACAAACCTATTCATTCACTTTTACCTGTTCTTTCACTCCAGTGTTCTGAAAACTTTCACCTTTTCTTTCATGCCACACAAATCCTGGAGTGCTGTCCTTATGCAACAGAGTGCCCAGGCAGTTTGGTCAATCTTTCACAGGCAACAAAATCTATTTGTTTCTCCTACATTCAGCTGAAGAGGGGCTAACAACAAACATCCACAAATACACGGAGTGTGTTGCATTAGCAGAGGTGGAAAACCCCCAGCATTCTTTAAGCTGCCATCTAATTCCCTTAAAAGCCAGTCCTTCCACCGTTCACCCTCAGAATGGAATCAAGGTTCCTTTAGCCTTTCTATCTCGCCCGTTTCCCCTTTAGCTTTAATATCACAAAGGGAGATGTACTTCCAGCCTCTCATCTGGCTCGATCCCAGCACCTGGCTCTCTTGCCTTTGCGTGAGGACTGGCCAAGAATGAACTCAGTGGGAGAGGATGTGCAGGGAGGGCAGGAGCCAGGGGCAGAAACAACTCTCCCTCCAGAGGCGACGGGCTCCACAGCTGTCCCAGGCTTCAGTGCCCTGCAGTGCCAGTCAGGAGGCTGGCTCTGCCACATCTCTCCACACTCCTGGCAACGGATCTTTTTGTTGTTATTCTCCCTTCTTCCCTTCTGATTCCAGACCCAGTGTTTGCTTGTCTTGCAGCCAAAGATAAGCTCCAGGCATTCAGGAGGCCACATTTTAGACATCCGAATAGAGCATTGACTAAGGGAAAGGAACAATTTGTCTTAAAAATTGCTTTCCCGTTTGCTTTCTCCTTCCTAGCTCGTTTTGATTAGGCAACACTGTGTGTGTGGATTCAATGAAATATCAGATGAAAATATCATAAAATGCATTGAGACTAACTTCATGTAATCCTTGAACCCCATTCACCCCATTCCAGATCTCCCTTCACTCACAATTGCATGAAATTTACTTCCTACCCAGGAAACACCCATATTTTTACAGCCAGTGTTATTAGAATTGTCTTCTTCCATAACATTCATTGAAGTCAAGATGATGTCTGTTTGAAAAGAAAAAAGTCAAATTTGTTGGTGTGTGTACTGTGGACAGGGATTGTGACTGCATTCTGGGGCTTGCATTTAAATCAAGAAATCCTTTCCTATCCTTCCCTATCAAATGACTTGGGCAGCCTTTCTTCAGCTTCTAGTATGTTAAAAACAAAAATCTAAAACAACATTGAAATTTGCCTCTTTAGAGGACTAGGACTAAAAATGAAATGCTATGGGATACTGTGATGGTTTAGAGTTGTGTTCATTTTGGGGGAGTCCAAAAGAGAAAATGGGAGAAGGAGGGTTAACCATTGCCTTCTGAGCAGGTCAGTTGATCTAGCAGACACCATAGTCCACTTCATCTCTGTAAGAAGCATTGCCTGTTCAGTGACTTTTGAAATGCAAAACATGCACACTGTCTACTGAATCATAAATAGATACAAACAACCCCTGAAACTGACTAGAAAACGAGGCAGAAAGGACAGGGAACACAGGACAGACATTAAAGACAAAACATGGTGTAAAACCAGAAGTGACCAGTGACTGTCCAAACCAGAGGAAGTCAAACCACACCTACAAGAGAAGGAAAAGCATGATTCATTGTCACCTGAGAATAATTTGATCTCTGCTACACAGAGGATGTAATGGATGTAAAGTAGGGATAGTCCCTGCTGCCTGTGCATACAGCATGTCAATTAGAAAACCGGGGGCAGGGGCAGCATCAAGACAGGGCACAGAGCTTTATGAACGATCCCCTGTTTCTAGGAAGACACCTGTGGGGCCTGGTGAAGACATAATGGATAGTGACTGAGCTTCATTGCCTCCCCAGCACAGGAGGTGAGGCTCACAAAGCCAAGGGCCCTAAGCACACAGGGGATTGGAGAACAGGCATTTTCCTTCTGTTCTTCAACCGTTCAGTGAACAGCTGGGTACCAAGAAAATGAGCAGGTGATTTCAGATTTACGAAGCTGCATTCTGACCCCCTAGGCAGAGCCTTCGAGAACAGAAGGTAGGAGGCTGACAGAGATAGGTAGGTGTGGGCATCTGAACCCAAAACACTAGCTCTGATTACATATGGGCCCTTGAACCAGCTGCTAGAGAGGGTTGCCATGGCGCCAGAAAACAGTCCCTTTCTCAGCATGGAAAAGCCAGGTAGGGATCACCATTTGCTGAAGATTTCTGTTGAGTATGCTAGTTCTTGAATTTAGAATGTAATTTAAAGTTTCTGCTGCCAATACATCTAGATTTAGGCTTCTATGAAATTCTAGGATTTTCCTTAGATCCTATCACTTTTTATGGATAACAAGTTCATTTCCACTGGTGATAGGGTCACCAACCCATCTTCCACTGTTCCCTTCCTATGGCAATGAGAACAAAGATGAGAAGAACCAAAGGCAGGAGATGTGCGAAAATCCTCACACAGAGAAAGCAACATCACATGAATTTTATAACAATTCCAGTGCTTGCAAAGGAGTGTGGAATAAACTAGTTAAGTGGTATAAATATTGTTGTTCAGAGATATTTGCCGCCCCTCCATGAAGGAGGATTATACACTTTCTTACCCATTGACATTAGGCTTGGCCATATGAGTTACTTTCCAAAATGAAATGTAAGCAGAAATGACATGTATGTGTCACTCCAGGCAGAAGCTTTAGGGCCAGTACACGATCTGCCACATTCTCCTTTCTCTCTGCCAAGAGGTTGTTTCAAATAGATGCTGCTCCTTTACTTTGGGTGCCTATAATGAAATCAATGTGAAGCAGGGCTGGAGCTGAACTATGAATGAGAAATAATCTTTATTACAAACCACTGATATTTGAGGACTGTTCATTACAGTATAATAACTTAGCCTACACTAGTTAATACAAAGTACATTTAAAGACCATATACATCAACCTTATTTTCAAAATATGCATGTATGAATTTAAAGGATTGACAAGGACTACAGCAAAATTTTAACTGTGATCATTTCCTGAGTTTGGAACTATGATTTTTTTTCTACTTTATGCTTTTCTAATATTCCTAAATTTCCACAGTGAACAAATATTGTACTATCATTAAGGAAAATATAACTGTAATATTCTTTAAAAGACAAAGTATCAATCCATGCCTAGTGTGGACGTTCTATTGAGTCTCACCAGTCATCGTTAATTATAGGAATTTGGGTGACAAGTATAACACCTTTAAAAGTATTATATTTCCAAGATCTGCAGCAGGTTTCTTTCATGAGCCATGGCTGGCATCTTACTCCCTTCCTTTTACTTCCTGTCAATCCGCAGTCTCCTACAGGTTCCTCCAGGGCAGTACTAGACTCCAGTGTCCTGAAGTTATCTCCAGTGTGGGTGGCCTACAGCAACTAGCACTCACCGTCGAAGAACCTCTATCCTTCTTGGGAGCTCTGTGCATACATTCTCCTCTTGTGTCTCATTTGTAATCATCAAAGTCAAGGAATTCTTTTCCAAGGTCCAGTCCTTCCCTATCAAATGAAAAAATGCGTATCCATGAATATGGGAATAGAGGAAATGCCTCCTTCCTGCAGACATATCAGGATATTGACATTGCATCCCAGCACTAAAACATCTGGGAACCCCTACTTGAAAAGACCAAAAATTAGGTCATGACCTAACTGCATCTGAAGCTAGGCTCCCATCACTGGGGTGGGCAAAAGTCCCTTGCCCAGACCCTGTTTCTATTCTTTGGGAAGAACTCCTCTGCCCATGTCCCCCATGGCCTCTGGCTCAGCCCCTGGGGACTCCTCTTGGTTTTTTACTCTCCGTGGCCACATTTGAGGAAGGCCTCATGGGAATTAAACAATATTTGAAGTTGTCTTCTATTTTTGGAAGATAAAGGTGCCAGAGTTAGTCAAGGCTTTGGACAAGTCAAAAGGCTTTTGTTTGTTTCCAGGTTAGTGGTTTCATTGGCAATAGAACCCTCTGAAGAAATCAGTAGTCTCCTGATCTATTTGTCTCTGGTCAGTTTCAGATGTAGAAATCATACCTAAATTCTTTCTAATACATACTTCTCAAATCTGCCTTATTTCTGTTTCTTCAGCTTAGTGGTGGTGACCTTTGAGCATGTCAGGCTTGAAGAGGAAGCCTATACAATTAAACTGATCTTCATCTTGAATCCTTCTAGTCAACTGGTTATTTTTACTGTGCCCTTGTGGCTCAAAGGCTTTTGTAAACCCTATCTGTTGCTGTCTGGAGTATAGAAATGGTTAACTTGTCATAATTTGCAAAGCTCTGAATTTATGAGATTTCTTCATTTCTTTTCATTTTTGCTTGCCACCTAGCCAATATCGTCCTGAGCTCTTCTTTTTTTGTAAGAGTTATTAAGTACAGCCAACAATAATCAGTACACACCATCTCCCCCATGCTGCAGGCTGAAGAGATATGTTGAGGTATTCCTTCCAAGTGTTTTGTCACTACTTAACACCAGTTTTCTTCTTCCAGCTCCAGATATCAATTATTCTGCCACCCACCTGCTTCCCTATATGCCACTTCCTTTGAAGGAATACATTTCTGGAACGACCAGGCTACAATCCAGAAAACAGAAGCCGTTCTTGGTGTTTTGAGTAGCAAAGAGCTTCATACAGGGAATTAGAGGAGACACAGCTATTGGAAAGTCAGGAGAGCATAGATCAGGAAGGTCACTTTCAGGAAATTCAGAAGTACAGAATCATTGGAAAGCCACGACCAATGGCCTCAGCTTCTGCAGCGTGAACGTAGTTCATTTTCAGAAAGGCCTGCATTGCAGTTGGAAGTCACTGCCAAAGATCCCAACTGCCTACAGCACAGGAGTGGATTATTCTTAGGAAGGTGCTGTAAAGCAAGCCACCTGTAAAATCCTACCTTAGCTGTCTGTTCATGCTTCTATGAGGAAAACAGCATCTCTCTTCCTTCTGCCTTCCCAAATCTTTGGAAATCCCCCTTTAGAGGAATCTATCTAACCAAGACCTTCCTGGCAAGGGAGTCTGAGAATGCACTTTCTGTTTTCTCCCTGTGCAGTTCAGATAAGACTGCTTAGATGGGTGATGATAATATTGAAATATTCAAAACCAAAAATAATATCCTGCACACTGAAGCTCACAGAAATTACTAAAGGTCACAACTATTATATTTCTGACCATTTTAATTTTCCTGCACCATCTTAGCCTGCTCTATGTGTCTTGTTTAGCATGTCAATAGCACATAATAAATTATTTGAGGACAATAGCATCAGAAAAGTAGGTTCCTTCGCGGTCTAAAGTTTTAGCCTATGAGCCTCAAATAAATCTGAACTTTGATAAACATTATTATTGAGTAGAAAAATTATGTGATGAGGAGAGAGCACAACAAGGTCCACCCCATAGTTTGCTACTAGATTCTGCCTTAAAGAAAGTGATATTACTTCTCTAGGCCTCATTATTTCTCATCTGGAATAAAGGTTTTAGACTAGATATGTGGTTTCCAGACTTTCTGATAGCTATGGAGCCATTCTTCAAATGAAATCTCACAAGGAGTTCCAGTAAAGGGAGGAGCTGGGCTAGGCACAGTGGCTCACGCCTGTAATCCCAGCACTTTGAGAGGCTGAGGCGGCTGGATCACGGAGTTCAAGACCAGCCTGGCAACAGAATAAGACTCTATCTTAGGAAAAAAAAAAGTGGGGGGAGGAGCTGCCCATTTGTAGTGGGATGGAGACCCCACTACATATTACCTCAATTTTCCTATATAATATTTCCAGATAATTATTTCTCAATTATTTGAGAAAATAATTGAGATAAAATTTCCAGATAGTATTACCTCAATTTTCTAAGTCTCTACTTTTTCTATTATGTTGGCAAAATATAATGAGTTTTTAAAATGTGACTAAGTAACACAACAAAAAAAAGAGTTTAACTCAGAATTTCTATCACCTCAAGCTTGTTTTCCCCTGGGGAAAGAACCACCAGCCCAGGACCCCAGTGTTTCATGGAAATCTAGAAGTCTCCTTCAGCAAAATGGTTAATTATCAAATATGTTTGGAAAAAGCAGTGCTTTTGCCCCTGGGCTTTGCTATGGTTTGAACAGCTCCCCTCCAAAATTCAGGTGTTGCCAATGTGATAGCATTAAGAAGAGGGGTCTTTCAGAGGTGGTTAGGCCATCAGAACTTCCCCCTCATTAATGACATGGAGGCCCTTGTAAAAGAGAATTCATGTAGCATTGCTCCAGTTTGCCTTTCCTCCTCCTGCTATGTGAGGTTGCAGCAGGAAGGCCCTCACCAGAAAAAATGCCAGCACCTTGATCTTGGACTTTCCAGCCTCCAGAACCATGAGAAAAACATTTCTGTTATTTACAAATTACTCAGTCTCTGGTATTTTGCTGTAGCATCACAAACACACTAAAACAGGCTTCCTCTGGGAGGATGCCTGGTTGCATAATCACAGAAGACATTGGACAGCAGAAGCCACATATTTCCTAAGACCTCTCAGACTTATGAGATGCCAGGTATTCCTGGTTAATTTCATTTTACATAGTGCTTGATTTCTTTTGGTTGTTTGTGTCAGAAGAGCTATTAACACCATATAGACATTGGC